TCATGACTGAAATAAAAATCAAAATTGTTATCATTAAATGAATCTGATACCTACATAAATACTCAAATGTTTATTATTTGCCACCCCACTCTTTATGTTTTCTCGGCTTGTGAGGTACTCATCCACCCCACCCCCATTGTTTATCTTTTCCCACCAAACTCGTTAAGCTATTGCGACTTGGGAATTTTTGCTATCTACCGTACAGCTGCCCTTTAAAGTGCCAATAAATTCTTTTAAGGTCATAAACAACAAAACTTCCATAAACCAAACAAAAACATAAATATTTTTTGTTGTGTGTGTTTTTTATATTTAAGATGGACATTGTAGCCAAAGAAAAAAAACTCATCAAAACTTAAATATCAATAAAAAAATGAAAAAAAATATTTTACAACTCCATCATCACGATGAAAAACAAAAAAAAACTCTCAAACAAATAAATACAAAGAATGAAAATTAAAAAAAGTAAAAAATATAGGCCATTATCTGTTCGAATGTCAAGCACTCAGGGCCCAAGAACTTTATGGCAATGGTCCCTTGAGAAACAAAAAGTTTTTTTTATTGTTTTTCAAAAAAGGTCATTACAAAAAACGCGGCATTGAGGAACAACACACACAATTTTAAAAGTCATGAAGGCAAAAGCAAAACGAAATTGTTAATATAAAAAACAGCGTTAAAACTTGAAACTTTTTAATCGAATATCGATAATCAGAATATTATTGAAAAACATAAAAAAAAAAATATATATATATATATATATATATATGGCCAGCAAAAGGCCAAGCACAAAAACAACAATAATAATAAACTTTGTGAAATGACTTTCATAAATTGAAAACAGAAAGTGGTGGTAAAGCACACAAGGGTATCATTTTTGGGAAAGGGAGGAAATGAAGTTATAAAGGAGGATTTTTTATTAGATTTGATTCCCATGTTCACTATGTATAAATTTCATTTTTATGGAAAACCCCTAAAATATTTTAAATTTTATTGAAACAGAGGTGGAATCCTTTAATTTTCATAATCCCGGTTGTTATGGCGTATGATTAATAATATTACAGTGTTGTGGTGCGTATGAATATTATTAATAATGTTATTTAAAATATTTCGTATACCCATAGTACATGGTATAATAATCACGTGGGGAGGAATGTTTAGGAAACATAAAAATATAAAGTTTTAATATGAATTGGAAAATTTGGAAAAATGATGATGGTGAAGGAACATTGTTTTATTAAATTAAAAAATGACTTGTCCAGTTTGCATCGTATTCATTTTGAAATGGAAACCCCTAAAAATATGTTAAGTTTTTTAGAATCCTTTAAATATGAATTTTGATCGGTGAAAAAGTGCCTTTTAGTGAAGCCAACAAAAGGATATAATTTTTGGGAGAGAAAAACGAACTGAACTGTAAGACACACAAACGGATGCAACATACAATAGTATAATAGTAGGAAAAGGGACAATGTAAGTGGTGCATAACATTTCTAAATTGAAAACTTTGCATCATCCCTTTTTGAAATAGCATTTTATTGAAATTGTGCTGAATTCTGGAATTCTTCTTGTATTTTCATCATAATTCGTCTACATTTCCATACATTTGTTTATGATGTCGTATGATTAATAACAATAGAGTGTTATGAGTCGTATGATTATTTTTATACCCTCCACCATAGTATGGTGGGTATATTAATTTTGTCATTCTGTTTGTAACTCATCGAAATATTCATTTCCGACCCTATAAAGTATATATATTCTTGATCAGGGTAAAATTCTAAGACGATCTAGCTATGTCCGTCCGTCTGTCCGTCCGTCCGTCCGTCTGTTGTAATCACGCTATCTTCTGAAGGAATTGATATAGAGTGCTGAAATTTTGCATAGGGTTGTTTTTTATCCGAAGGCAGGTCAAGTTCGAAGATGGAATATATTGGTCCACGTTTAGGCATAGCTCCCATATAAGGGTACCCCCCAATTTTCGGTATTTTAGGGTTCTTGAGCGCGTTTTTCAGCCGAATTCCCTGAAATTTGCTGCATTAGGTTCTTATTGGGTACTAAATGTCTCCACAAAAAATTATAAGTATACGCCCACTTTTTCTGGTAGCCCCCGTATAACGGTACCTCCTAATTTTCAGTACTTTGGGGGTTTTGAGCGCGTTTTTCAACCGAATTGGCTGTAATTTAGTATTTTGAGTTCTTAATAGGTACCAAATCTTTCCACAAAAAAATTATGAATATGGGTCCATTTTTTCGGGTAGCCCACATATAAGGGTACCCCCCAATTTTCGGTATTTTGTGGTTCTTGAGCGCGTTTTTCAACCGAATTCGCTGAAATTTGCTACATTGGGTTCTTCTTGGGTACTAAATGTCTCCACAAAAAAATTATAAATATAGGTCCACTTTTTCTGGTGGCCCCATTAACGGTACCTCCTAATTTTCATTATTTTGGGGGTTTTTATCGTATTTTTCACCGATTTGGCTGTAATTTAATATTTTTAGTTCTTAATAGGAACCAAATCTATCCACAAAAAATTATAAATATAGGTCACTATTTTCGAATATCCCCCATATAAGGGTACCCCAATTTTCGATATTTTGGGGTTCTTGAGCGCGTTTTTTAGGCGAATTCGGTGAAATTTGGTAGATTGGGTTCTTATTGGGAAGTAAATGTATCCACAAAAAATTATAAATATAGGTCCACATTTTCTTGTAGCCCCCATATAACGGTACCTCCTAATTTTCAGTATTTTGAGTGTTTTGGTCGTATTTTTCCACCGAATTGGCTGTAATTTAGTATTTTGAGATCTGAATAGGTACCAAATCTCTCCACTAAAAAATTATAAATATAGGTCAATATTTTCGGATAGCCCCCATATAAGGGTACCCCCAATTTCGGTATTTTGGGGTTCTTGATCGCGTTTTTCAACCAAATTCGCTGCAATTTAATATTTTGTAGCCGTATATGGTAACAAATCTCCCTACTAAAAATTATTAATATTCGCACCCTTTTCGGCGTAGTCCCCATATAACCCCCTTTTTATACCCTACACAACTATGTTGTCAGGGTATAATAGCTTTGTGCAGTCCCAAAAGTTTGTAACGCCGCGAAATATTGGTCCTAGACCCACCTTTAAGTATACCGATCGTCATATCTCGACTAGCTGAGTCGATCTAGACATGTGTGTCCGTCCGTCTGTCCATTATAATTTGTAAACACGATACAGGCCACAGTTATGAACCAATCTGGACAAAATTTTGCATGTAGAATGGGTTCTGGCCAATGAAGACCCATATTGTTTTTGGAAAAGATCGGTTAATATTTAGGGGATGAAATGGACCAAAAACTTTAGTTTTGCCTGATTTTCTGGTCGCTCCGGAGGCCGCAATTATGACCGCGAAGTTTTGCATGGAGAAGGGGATCGGGTCAAAGAATAAGCATGCCTGTTTTGATAAAGATCGGTCAATATTTAGCGGGTCAAATGGACCCTGACTTTTGTGTGAAAAATGACAAAATGTGTATTCTATGGCGTATATATTTGCCCCTGAATGACCTAGACCAAAAAAGTTGATAGTATGTTCAGGAGGAGTGGTTGACCTTTAAATTGATACCAATTATATGGTCATATGTACTCAGATGTGGGAGCTACACTTAAATATTTACAGGTTCTTACGTATTCAGACATTATTTAGTAACCCACTACCACACTAGACGGCGGAAATATAGCGCTGATCGCTTTGAAAATTTCCATGAGATTCCAGTTATGGTCAAGGACAACGTCTATAACTTTCGGTGATGATCAGATAATAATTTTGGGATGAAGTGGACCGAAAACTTAACATTTTATTTTTGAGTCGATCTGTAGGCCACAATTGAAAGTCCAACATGACAACATAACCCACGGTAAAGAGAATCTGGACAAATACAGCCCTCGTCTACTGAATATAAGTAATATATGCTGACCTTTAGTCAGGTTTCAAGAGGGTGCAAATAACCCAAAGTTAGATTTTCGTGGAAGTTGTGTAGGGTATTATATGGTCGGCCCCGTCCGACTATACTGCTCCGCTAACTGGTTTATATTAAAATAGTTATCTGATTTGTTATGCGTCTTGGGTTTGGTTCTAAGACTCTGTTGTAATCATTTGACCTGTGGAGGTGAGAACGTAATGTTCGATAATGTACTATATATGAACTATAGCCCGGATTGGGGCGTACCAGAAGGAGTGGATCGATATTTCCCATCTTCGAACTTGAACAAAGTTTGCCTTATTTTAGAGTGGCGTATGATTAATAACAATAGAGTGTTATGGAGCGTATGGATATTATAAATTATTAAACTATTGCTCATACTCCCTATGAGACTATTTTTATTAGTCTTGAGGAATATGACAATCGAATTCAGTATCGTAGTCACTTAAAAATACACTGTATTTTATTGAAACGTTGCTGAGTTCTTTTTACTGTAAACCATTAACATTTCCGTACATTATGATTAATAATAATAGAGTATTATAGGGCGTATTGATATTATTAATTATTATATTTTTAAAATATTACTCATACTCCCAGTAGATGAAATCGAGATCTATAAACTGTTATACATTCGATCCTAATGGCGTATGATTAATAATAATTGAGTGATATGGAGCGTATGCATAATATTATATATTATATTTTAAATATAACTTCTACTCACATTAGATGCTATTAAATCATATAGGGAGATTTGAAATTTATATTTTCTTTAAACACAAAAAAATATAGATTGAATTTGAAATTTGGCTGCTGAAAAAAATTCCTTCTCGTGAATTGAAGATCACGAATTGTTTTGTTTATAAATTATTTTATTGTTTTAAACACTAGTTTCAATACACTTTTATTTGGAAAATTATATAATTATTTCTTTTTATAAATTTTGGAAAATATTTTTCGAAATAAAAACCACCATACAAAATTATACTAAATTTATTCTCTCTTTCACAAAACTATTTCTTTTTTGCAGAAATTAAGACATGTTCACCCGAAGAGTTCACCTGTAAGACAGGTGAGGGTGAATGTATACCACTGGCCTGGATGTGTGATCAAAGTAAAGATTGTTCAGATGGTTCCGATGAGGCTTCATGCAGTAAGATTGTTTTTTTCAAAATTTCTATTCAAATAAAATTCGAAATTTGTCCACTTGTTATTTAATGTCTGTAATGCACACAAAAAAACACACACACACCTATACACCTGCAATTGTATATGTACACCTTATTTTTTAGAGGATTTTTTTTTTTTTTTTTTGGTATCTTTTGGCTATCTCTTTTTGCGGTAGTAATGCTTTTATCCATGTGTTTAAATTTATTTTCCTTAAATGGAATTAGTTAGCTGCTGCTTTTTTAGTTTTTATTTTTGTCACATAATTTGGAAATATCTACTGATTATTTTGGGAACTTTTTAAAAGAAATCAAAAAATAATTTTAAAAATATAAAAAAAATATTATTTTCGAACTATTACCAAGATTAATTTAATTAAAAATATGCAAATATTTTTTCATATCTTTAAAGCTTTTAAAAAGTTTCCAAACAACCCACTAAGAGATTTCCGTACACGTATGCACTTAATACAGACATACGCACATATCCAAAAACCTACACACACAAATGCAAATATGTATGCACTTATTTTACTCCTTTACTTGTATATCTTAATAAAAACACGTTTTTTACTGTGAATTATTTTTGTTTAGAATTTGTGAAAATGTTTGTTAAGAAATTAGTTAAATATATGCTTTCATCTTAGTTGCTGTTTTGAAGTATATATATATATGTGTACTTTAAAATGCAACAGTTGAGAATGTATGTGTCATATATTTACTTAATATGTTAACAAACTTTTCTCAAAGAGTCCAATATTTACGTTTTATATTTTTAGTTACTTGTTTTTACTTTGTATTCTGGTGATGGTACACTATATATGTATGTTTGCTTAACAGTTATTTAATTTTTTCGTATATATTTCTTTGGTGATGGTTGTGTAATGTAATTATACAGTCGAACCTAAATACAACGAGTTTTTCAGAATAAGAAAAGAAAAATAAAAATATTTTTCATGAGGTCATTAAGGCTTTTATGACAGTTCATTGTATCGAAGTCTGACTGTATTCTTCGTTTCTTTTGTAACTAATATTTTGTATATATGTTTACTACTATATTATAAGCGATAGGTACGATATTTATATACATACAGAGTTATATATTTTGTACTATGTTCAGTTCCAGGACATCCAAGATATATACATTTATGAATTTTGTAACAAGTGTTTCCATTATAAATGTGAGAAATTCGACCAGGTTTTATTTCACGGAATCATTACATTTTTATTACACTGTGCGGCAAGATCGTGTTTTCGCTGGCGACCTTATTATACTTGTAGAGATATCTTTATATTTTCATTTGTAGCTACTGTATGTATTTTTGAAGATTAAATTTCTGTAGTAAAATTGAATGGGCATTTTTTAACATTTCATGCTTCTAACTCGATTCCTTGTACGACCTTTTCGTCCTTAATTTATTGAACCGAACTCCAATTGTCATAAGATGTAATTTTTCATCCTTGCAATATTCTACAAAATTGTTGCTCGTACGATTTCAGGTGGGGTCTTCAAAGACGAAAAATTGATATTTTAACGTTTTAATATGCGATTCCGATTCCCGTTTCTTGTCACTAAAACCCTATATGTATACATTTCAATAAATTCAGTACACATTCCTTATTATGCTAAACTGTCGGATTCGTTCGAATTATTTTCTAGAAAATAAATATATTTAAGCCAAATACGTAAAAAAAATTTTTTGATAAAAAAGAACCGGTTTTGAACCGGATATGCAGGTAATAGATGAATAAAATTTGCACGATTTTTACTAGATTTCTAATGATATGGTTTAAACAATGTATAAACCCGGTTATTTTTTCCTCGACATTTTTTTATTATTTATTTTTTGACATACTTTGCATAATTATATGCGTTTTTTAAAAATATTTCGAATGAATCCGATAGTTCTACAGAATAGAGAATGAATACTGATTTTATTGAAATACATACATATAGGGTTTTAGTACAAGAAACGGGTAAAATTGAAAATCGGTCATTAAAACTTTAAAATGTCGTTTTATAGACTGTGAGGACCCAATCTAAAACCCTATTACAATATTTTTGTAAATTATTGCGAGGATGCAAAATAGCATCTTGTGATAATTGGAGTCCGGTTCCATAAATTAAGGACGAAAATGGCAAACAAGGAAACGAGTTAGAAGAATAAAATAATCTACATAAAAATTCCTCATTCGCTTCAACTGAAGAAAACTAATCTAAAATATATACAATAGCTACAAATGTGGATATGAAACAATATTTTCAAGTATAATAGGGTCGCCAGAAGAAAATACAATTATCACGCCAAGGGTTTTCAACCTCAATCGATATTTTTCACACCCGGTATATCAAAATAACTACAACGAGTAAAATATACGTCGTTAATTTTAGCCGGCCTCAACTTTTTATACCCTCACCCATTACATAGACATCCAAATCCTCAATATACTGCCGACTGCGAACCAAAAATCCGTTTTAAAAAGGTTTCTGAAATCCTAAAAAATATCGACTATTGTGGTATCGTTATGTGTGGCTATAACAAAACGTGGATCGATATTAATGTTTTTGTAGGAAAATTAACAAAATATCAAATTAGAGCCGATTCGGTTGAAAGCCGTGCCAAAATCCCTAAAATATCGAGTAATGGGGACTGTCGTAATATGATAGTTAACTTAAGGAGACCCCCCATTCTCGGGGTCATTTTTTTATTTAATACGAATCTACACTAATTCAAGAATGTCCCTACAAAATTTCATGTGAAAATCTCAAGAACTCTTGAAGATATAGCCGATTTTTTGTGTCAGCATCAAGTGACGGCTGAAGAGCTTCCCAAACTTTAAACGGGATTTTCTCTTTTGCGAATGGCGGGCACGATAACTCAAAAACTAATAACCCAACACGTTTCTCTGTGAGTGTATAGCTATCGTATGAACTAGGATAAAGCCAATCGATGAAGATCTTCCTTATTTTTTAACTTAGTTTGTGGTCAAAAATAGGCGATTTTCCAAAAATATTTTTACAAAGGTCCGCCATTTTGTTAATTTTAGAGCAAAGTCAATAATCCTAGTTCATACGAGAGCCAGACATGTACTCTTTCTAACACCGTTGGAATTTTCGGATCAAAAATTAGGACTTTTCTTTAATTACAAAAAACAACAACAAAACAATAACAAAATTTTTTTGTAAATTACTTTTCTTCTCTTTTAAATCTTCAAATATATACATGCAAAGTTACAAACCTTAACAAGCATTGGTATTGATTTACCAGCCCATTGAAAATCTTGAAAAATTAAAATCGAGAATGGGGGGATGCCTTAAATTTTGATCCAATATTAATAATAGTTTGATAGGAGGTTCTGTCAATATTGATATATTTTTAGGGGAATTTTCTACCCAATGGAATCCAAGATAATAAAAAATGCAGCCACTTTGGTTGAAAATCGTACATAAAATCCGTAAAGTGTCTAACATTTATAATTTCTAGCAGGAAAATGTTCTATCTATTGACAACCCAAAATATCATATTACAGCTGGTTTGGTTGAGAAACTACCCCAAAAGCATCAAAATACCGACTAATAGGGAAAGCCCTAAAAAATATAGGGGCAACCGTAAAAATGGTCCGATATTTTCCATTGTCAATTCCAAACATCCCAGGAGAAGTAACAATATATGTTCAAAATCTTTCTTCAATATTGCTAGATTTATCCTGATTCTAACAGACTGACATTGGTAAATCGAAGGTAACAGAAAAAGTGAGCATCTACGGAATTCTTCAGCGGACCATCTTCCGATATCTTTCTTTTTAAAAATAATAAAAAATTTGTGGGGATAGTGTACCAGAAGGATTGGTCCGATGAATTTCATTCGATGTGAAAAAGTTCGGATCAATTCTGATGAACGATTTCCAGAATTCATTGTTTTCACAGATCAACTTGTTGGCGCAAATGTATTTAATTGATAGAACTCATATCCGGATACAATATAAGTTGGGTAAAAATATTAGTTTGTATTAAGTTCTGAAGGCATATCATTGGGGCCTTCTGAATATCGTTAGTTTTTCAACATATCTAAATAGCCAATCGACAAGAACTCTTTTAAAGGGGCTATGACAGAACATGGACTGAATTACAGTCCCTTCTGTTGGAAAATGTCCCCGAATTTCCCAAAAGGTACATGATTGCCAAATTTCAATCGGAAATTCTATGCATATCGATCCGTCCTTCTGTCTATGAGTTTTTCTAACGAAAGTGCAGGTCGCACTTATTATCCAATTGTTATGAAATTGACCATAGCTCTTTCGTTAGGCCCACGGACGAACGCTATTGAAACTAATGACATATATCCTCGGTACCTTGATGCGTATAAGATTTGTCACAACGTATACGTCACATTGCAACCCAAAATTAGAAATATTGCATCACATTGAATGTTAAGTATATTTAAATGCTGATTGACTAAAATCGCACTGGAGGATTATATGAAAATTATTGGTAACTTAAATGATACACTATCGACCGCTATGGCTAACTATCGGGAATAAATTATTATTTATCTGTCTTTGAGGGATTTTTATAATAGTTCGCATTGAAACCCAAAGACTATAGTTTTTACTTAGCCATGATTCTATACATAAATTTTCTTTTATACTTCCTGCAAACATATCTGAAATATATTTTATGGTGATGGTTTAATTTATGATGTATTTATGTTACTTTTTTACATGTATAATTTCTATATAATAACGGTTACGGGTTATTGTCTTCCTTATATGTGAAATCCTTATTATGAAATCCCTATTTTTTGCACATATCTTATATATACACCAAAAATACTAACACAACTACTAATCCTTTTTGATACAGATAAATATTTGTTAACTAACCACAAAACAGCTACAATTTCCATGACCCAATTTTTAATACGATTTTTCCCTTTTTCTTCTTCTCTGAAATTCTTGCAATTAATCATTTACACAAAAACAACAACAAAAACAAAAAATCGAAATAAAAACAATTTAAGATGATACCTGTCGCTCTGATGAGTTCACCTGCGGCAATGGCCGTTGCATACAAAAACGTTGGATATGCGATCACGACGATGACTGCGGCGATGGTTCGGATGAGAAGAATTGCGCCAAAGTGCCATGTGGCGCTCATGAATTTACCTGTTCGAATGGTGCTTGCATTCACAAGAAATGGAAATGTGACGGTGAACCAGATTGTTATGATGGCTCCGATGAAGTGGTAAGTAATGTTCAGATGTTTGCGCAGTTTGCTTTTTTGTTTCATTTTGTGAATTTTTACTTGTCATCATAAATGGAAATATTATATTAAAATTGTAGTAGTATTATTATGTTTGGCTGGGCGAGAAGGAGAGAGAGATCGGGAGGGGAAATAAAACATTAAGAAATGGAAAACAACAATTGGTTACATGAAAAATCCATTTATATTTGCTCGATGTTTAAAACTTTTGTGGGAAGCAACTAGTCGAAGTTGGGAGTACAATATTTAGTTTTAATATGATGAAAGAAGGGTTTATAAACGAACACAAGGGAGTCTTAACAAATTTTATGGACTTTTAAAAACACAAAAAAATATATTTAAGAATTATATAAAAACTCGGATTTTTAATAAAAAAAAAAAACTATATGTTAAGACTTGTGAACACTAAAGAGGTAAAAATGTTTTGGCAATTTTGCCTGGCACTTAAGGCGTGGATTTAAAGGATACAGCATTTAAATTTTTGAAACCAAGAATGTTGGGTTCCCCCAAGAAAAAATAAAGTCTTGAATTAAAAATAAATAATAATAACATGTGAAAAAGTGGAGGGCCGAGCCGAACTTTGGATACCCTCCACCATAGGTATACTGACAGGTACTAGAAATGAAAATATGGGGAACATACTAAGATGTGGACCTATATCGACATTTCTAAAAACGGATTATGTAAACCACAATACAAATTTCAGAATTTTTTTAATGGATAATTATACGCTCAGCCTAATGAGGGTGTATACACTTTAACTCGGTTAAAATGTGCCTCATCGAAATATTGGTTCTAGACGCCATGTTTCTTTGGACCAAATCCGTTTCAAAACATTTACATTTCATCCAAACTTTGCCTATCTTATTATTTCTTCCAAAATATTTGTCAAATTCGATGATGGGGAATATCGGTCCACTCCTTCTGAAACCTCCACAAAGGGACTAGGTCTAAATGCGGGCTATAGTTCATTATCGAACCTTACGTTCTACTTTTTTATCTCGATATCATTCGCAGGTGAAATGATTACAACAGATTCATAGAACCAAACTCAAAATGCGGAACAAATTTGTTAACTATTTTAATATAAACCAGTAAGGAAAGCAGTAAAGTCGGACGGGGCCCGCTATATGATACTCTTCACCACATTGGGTATATCCAACAGATGGAATCCTAACAGACGTCGCATTTGTGAAGGACCATCAACATGAAATTAAACATGCCATTCTGCAACCTATACTAAACTTTGGTCAGATATAGAGTTGCTTCTTACAATGGGACAATATTATGTAAATAAATTTAAAGCAAAATATCGAAATCTAAACCAATTTCATCGAAACTTGCCACATATTAGGTTACACTTATTTCAGTATGTTTTTTTTTGCATTCGGCCACATTTTGAGTCCTTCATTTACTTATTAATCCAAATTTCGTGCAAATCGAAGGATATATAGGGATTTTGGTGCAGTATTTACCTAAAATTGGACGAAAATATATATGGGAGCTATACCCAAATCTGAACCGATTTTCACGAAAATTTACACACATATTTATAGGCTTAATTCAGTACGCTATGCCAAATTTCGTGCAAATCGAAGGATATATAGAGACTTTGGGCACTGTTTACCTAAAATCGGACGAATATATATATATGGGAGCTATATCTAAATCTGAACCAATTTTTCCCAATTTCAATAGGGTTCGTTCTTGGGTATAAAAAGGGGGTTATGTGGGTACTTCCCCAAAATGGGGACAAATATTAATAATTTTTTGAAGGGAGATTTGTTACCAAATACGACTACAATATACCAAATTGCAGCAAATCCGGTTGATAAACGCACGAAAAATGCTGAACTTGTGCCACTTAAAGTTGTCCTGCATAGCCGTATTAATTTTGCAGGAATGCCGAACGCAGACATGGCAAAAAGGTCGACAAATAGGTAGTATGTGTCGATGTGTTTTTCGTGGGTCTTTTCCAGGATTTGGCGCAGAATGAAAATCTGGTCAATGGTGGATTTGCCAGGTCTGAAGCCGCATTGGTATGGTCCGATGATGTCATTGACCATTGGCTTCAATCGTTCACACAGCACACTGGATAGCACTTTATGTGCGATGGGAAGGAGACTTATTCCTCTATAGTTGGCACATATCGTCTTGTCTTCTTTTTTGTGCACGGGACACAGGATGCCGAGGTTCCAATCATCATCTATTATTGGTTTTGGGGTATCTTCTTCATCGCCACTTTTTGATACTTGGAGCTTTTCAAAATGCTCCTTCCAGATCCTCAACACGCTGTCTGTATCTGTCACCAGGTTTCCTTCTTCATCTCTACAGGAGTATTTGCCTGCACCAAAGCCTTCGGTTTGGGTTTTACTCGTTGGTAAAATTTCTGGACTTCATTCTGACTCCTGTATATCTCGATTTGCTCACGCTCACGTTTTTCTTGTTCTTTCTTCTTTTTTCTGAAAACATTTTCTCCTCTCTCCTTTTATCCCGATTATGCTCCATCACGTTACGTGTTGCTATTGTCTGCATGTTTGTCCTATACGCTGCGTTTTTCACATCAGTAGCATTACGACACTCCTGTAGGGAGTGGGCAATTCTTTGCCATTGTGCTTCTATACTATTATCGGGACAAGTAGTGATTTATTCAAGCAGATGGGTAAGTTGAGCGGAGTAGGCCTCGGCTACCTGTTGTGTTTGCAGCTTTTAGACGTCGAGTTTCCGTGTTGTATTAGATCGCACCTTTGCTGCAACATTAAGACGAGTGCGAACCTTGGTTGCCACAAGGTAATGGTCCGAATCGATCGGACGTCTAAAACACTGGATGAATGCCTTCCGTCTATCACAACATGATCAATTTGATTTTTCGGACGGTGGGGCCAAAGATATTTTCCCTTCCGATTTTTGCATTAAAATCTCCTAGTAGAATTTTAATGTCATGGCCAGGGCAACGGTCATATGCTGTTTCTAGGCGCTCATAAAATATGTCTTTGGTCTGTTCATCTTTATCTTCGGTCGGCGCATGGGCGCAAATGAGACTGATGTAGAAGAACTTCGTTTTTATACGGATTATAGCAATTCGCTCACCTACTGGTGTGAATCTGGAGACAAGGTCTTTTATTCTCCTGTTAACCATACATCAACAGCCAAATTCATGTCTCGTTTCGTGGCAGCTATAATACAGGGCGTAATCGGGTGTAATATATGAACTAAAGAAGTATATATAGTCTACCTGTAAAGAGTCTTTAAAGGCGAACATTAAATCCGTAAATTTTGTATCTATAATTTACACCACATTTTTCGTTTAGACTTCCTCATTGTCCATTCCAGAACAAACTGGATTTTTTTTGCCCCACTCTTTACTTTTGTCTAAATTAAATAGAGTGAATGTGCCTTTGCATTTATAACCTAAATAAACTCTGACCGCAAAACCATGAAATTTAGCTTAGTATTGCTATCCTCTCCCTATTTCTAACCCAGACCGATTCTATGCCATCCGGCCTTTTTTCTAAATAAATAGCAAGAGGCAAAAATTGCAACCGAGTTCTTTTTTCACTTCTTTTAAAATACAAACAGCAGTTTGCACACATTGACAAAATTGTGAGATGTGTGTATATGTGTGAATGGTTGTGCATTCATGGAAATACGGGATACTGTTTTGTGTATATATATATATATACACCAGGATATGTTGGACCATATTCTAAAAGAGGGAAAATGCATACGAAAAATGCCATACTGGTTTACTTTATTACTTGTGAGAGTTTCCAGTAGTATATCCCCCTACTATACACCATCCTCCTCCCTTATCAATTTGTTGTCCTGCTTCCCTTTCACCATCATTTCCCTGTAATAGAACACATGGCTGGAGAAATGTTGGCTACCATTCGCCTTGTTCATTTATAACATTACTGCGACTCATTGCATATGTTATGCGAAGGAAGGAATCTATATAAAGAATGGTAAAAAGGACGAAGAGAGGCAGGAGAGAGAGGAACAAAGGAGGGATAGAAATGTGAACCACACTAAACACATTTGCCGTTCTTTTATGTCATTTATGCTGGCCAGTTGGTGCGTAGCTGTATGACTGTGTCTCTGTGTGTGTGTGCGCCTTTTTGTGTGTGTATATGGACACTAGGGTCCTTGCTGCATTTCCTTTTAAACAAAATTAATGTTTGGTTCCCAACCATGTTCACTATGTCGATACCAGCAACCACATAAAACACATACATAGCCAGAGGGCGGACGGCTGGATGGTGGTAGCCAAGCAGTAACGAATGTTTTATGCTACTACAACTACTGCTCCTGCTGTGGTTACACATTCCACCATGGAACCATAGAGCCAGCCAGCCATCTCCACTGTAGTCTCTATAAAGAGAATACATTTGTATTTTGTAGCCGACGACCACAACTGCCAAATGGCACTTCAGTGTTAATAAGAAAATATTCTACAGGACTCGTTGCTGCTGTAGCTACTACCTCTGTTGCGGCTGGATGTTACAATGGCAGCCAACGTAATATTGTTATTCGCCAGTGTTGGAATCTCTTGGAAAATGTATTCACCGCCATTTTTTCTGGATATTTATTCAATTAATTCAATTGTATTCAAAATTATATTAGCCGTATAAATAAACGGTGGCCAAGAGTCAAGATAGTTGGAATATGAACACAAGAGCAAGGTTTACATTTTTTCGGCTCTTTTCGTGAAATTCGGTTAATACGTTTTTTATAGTTTTCATTGATGGAAGATCTTAAAAAACTTCAAAAATATTTTAAAATTATTTATTAAAAAAATCAAATCAAAAAAATCCAATGCCATGGTTCCCATGGCATCTGTTGATGTCCGGCGCCTTAGCTTTCAAAGCCACCTCTATATCTTCCTAAGGTTGCACAATATGCAGATGCATACCATTGAAGAAAAATATGGCAGTCTGTATGGAAAAAAAAGTCCGTCACAACAAGAAAAATCTGCTCTGAAC